TACAGAACACCTCGGCGTGTGTTCGATACACTTCTGCCGTTGAAGTGAATGCCAGAACATGCCCCTATATTTCTATTCTATACAATATTTAGTCTATTTTTGCACGTGCCCAGACTATTATCAACAACTGTTTTAATGCGAAGTAATTGAGAATTATGGTTAATTATTCTGTTATTGGACAGCTGGAGTCTTTTTAGCGAGAGCAACAATGGGACTATAGATAGTTGTAATGGTCATCTTCAGTTTATTTTGTTTGATTTCTATGTGGTTTGGAACTAAAAGTATATTTACATATACGATTTTAAATCGACTCGATTAACTAAATCCAGAAATACACCCTAAGTGTTTACATATACCTTTAATCATGATCTAACTGACAATCAGCTGATGTCTATTTGTAAACACACAAAATTATTAATTTGCGCAAAAAATATTTGTTTGAAAGTTGAAAATGGAAATTATACCAATTGAAATGTTCCTGCAATGTTGTGATCGATTGGAAAGTAAAAAATCCCTTCTAAATACAATTTACAGAGATCAACGAAATATGCTAATAAAAATGATGATTTTAATGAAAAAACAGAATATGTTATCCCAAAGTCTGCAAGTGTCTATTGGTATATTGGTATTTACTTTTGTGTGTACCTTATAGGAAAGACATGGAACATTTTGGGAAATTGATATTCCTAGATGCACTACCAACTTTTTTAAAGAAAGTTTTCGCATGAATCGGAACTGCTTCAATGCTTTGTGTCAACAACTTAGTTCCATCGAAAAAAGTGACACCACTTATAGAAAATGCATTCCATTAGATAAGAGAATTGCAATAGGATTGTATACTTTGAGATCGTCAGCGGAATACGCCACCATCGGACGCTTATTCGGCGTATCAAAGTCCGCTGTATGTATAATATTCAATGAATTTTGTTTGAAGGTATGGGAGATTTTATCTCCTCAATATCTACCTAGGGATATTTTATCGGAAGAAAAAATTATCGAATGTGTCGAAGGATTTGAGAATATTGGATTCCCACAGTGTTTTGGAGCTATAGGTACGTGTTCGAAGCAAATCATAATATTTTTATTGATTTAAGATCTAATGTAGGTGGCTGTCATATAGAAGTCAAACCCCCAAAAGGAGAAACATACGATTATTATAACTACAAGGGATGGTATTCGATGGTGCTGCTAGCATTAGTAGATCATAGGTAATGAGACCTTATTATATCCAACTATTAAATGTAAAATGATTATTTTTTAACAGGTATCGCTTTACATACATTAATGTCGGTGCTCCCGGACGGTGCAACGACTCATATATATATATATATATACGAAAACAGCAAATTGAAGCATCTACTAAATATGCCGATTTTTAAAGAAAATGCGAAGAATATATCTGGAGTTGATGTGCCTGTCTTCATAATAGGGGATTCTGCATTTCAAATGACTGACACGCTAATGAAGCCGACCTTTTTCCATATCCGCTTCAGAAAAAGAAAAAAAGTACAACTATTATATATCTAAATCAAGAAGAGTTGTGGAAAATGCTTTCGGCCATTTAAAGGCTAGATTTCGGAGAATAGGTAGGGGTATTGAGAACGACATTAAAAATGCAAAGAATGTCATAAAATGTTGTTGTGTATTACACAACTTATATTAAATAAATGGTTGGAAATTAATGCCAATAAAAGGGACGATATTCCCCAAATATCTCTAAGTGGTGTTATCGGCAGAGCAGAAGAAATGAGAAACGCAATTGCAAACATGTTATGGGAAAGAGGTCAGTAAAAATGCTTAAAGCAGCAGCAACTTAAAAACATTTTTATTTTCAGATCTTGAAGAACAGTTGCTGCCTCTCCCTCTTGAAATTAATTAATTCGTAATCATGCGTATAAACACACATTAATACTCACCCTTTTCATGTAAACAAATTTTAGTCTCATAAACATTTTAAATATAAAACTAAAATTTATTATCATGGTACAATTATAAAAGGTAACAGCAAATCCCAGCTGATTTGATTCCAACGTAATACTAGTGTCAATATGAATTTGACAAATTATGTTTTTAAAAATCACCCAACAGGAAAATTGGGAACGCATACAATTTGAAAATGTTCATTATTAAATGTGCTCCCGTATTCAATTTACTCAATCTGCCTGCTGGGAAAGTTTCAGGAAGCAAATCTTTCTTCAAGGAATAACTCGCTATTCCCAGCATTTTCATATGTGTTACACATATATGTGGCAATGGCTCAATTATAGGAAAGATGTGGAAGCGATAGAAATATAAATTTGAAAGATTTTCATTCATGTTTTTCAATTTTTATTTTGAGGATTCGAAAATATTTCATTTTCAAAATAAAAATAATTTGATGATAATTTGTTTGTTTGTTTACATTTTTCTGTCAAATGAGTTGACACTAGTAGAACTTACAACAACAAATTTCCATGTGGTTGTTGTATCGTTTTTTGTACAACAACACTTGCTGTTACCTTCTATTATTATACCATGATTTATTATCAATTCAGTCTTTTAAAAATGTACAAAAAAACAAATTTATAGTGCGTTTACATTTAATCAGATTTCGTTAACCCAGTAGGTTTCAATTGTCAATTCCTTTGCATATATGTCAAATAAATCCTCATTAAGTAGGTTAATCCGGTAAAAATTTCTAATGTACATGCCCTTTTTTTCTAAAAATTCAGTTTATAAATATGTACTATAGATTTACATTCATAGACTGTAACAATTTTGTTTATGATATTGAAAAAAAAAATAATAAAAATTAGTAGAACAGAAATAGATGAGGATATTTTCGCCCAGTAATTATTCCGGCAGATATACGCACAATATAACATATATCCATCGTTATTATGGAAGCTATAATGATAGATATTCAGAAAATTTGAAATTTGTGTAGTTCAAACAAACACGTTCACAAAAATGTATGTATTATTGTGGACAACCCCGATTTGCATTATTATTTTTGAGAAATCCTAAATATTCTCTTAGAATTTCATTTCGTTCTTTCTCCGTTTTCGCAATTTCCTTTTGAACCTCTAATCCTTCTTTGTTTATCTCATTCATTGTATTTATACTCTCCGCAAACTGCCTATTTATGTCTTCAATATTTTGTATTATTTGTTTTTTTTTTTTTTTTGCTCTCCTTAACAGTGGTTCTTATTCTTTTTTGAGAGGTTCTATGGACTTCGGGAGGATCAAGCGAACCATCAAGGGTATCACTTGATACATCAACTTGTATATCATCAGATAAATATTGGTCGAACATATCATATGAGGCATCTGTTGCGAAATCATCTAGATATTCCACTTCATTACATGGTATATCTATAAAAAGGTACATATATGAATATTTAGTTTGGAATTATCAGCCGGGTTTGCCGACAGATGTATATATAGCCTCATCACAGCAAGCATGGTTGTACAAAGACGGTGTTTGTAACTTTAAGGGCAACAAATTCGAAACTCCATTTCGATCCTCTTTTGTTGCGTTTTATATTATCGAAATAGTGACATTTGGTATGTTCCCGTACTGCAAGAATCTACTATTTGTTACTATTATTTTCGATAACATAAAGGAAAAATTGCTATCGTAGTAAAAAATAGTAGATTCTTGCAGTACGGGAATATGTAAAATGTTTCCTTCCGAATAGTACACCTCGATGAAAAATGCTTGCTGCTACAGAATAACTATAAATACTACATAATGCACAAGTAAAGTGCTTACCAATGCATTCGTCAACAGTGTCTTGTAAATTATGGAATTTATATCCCCCTAAAATACAGTGAACCCTTTCGTATAAAACCCAACTAGAGGGCGTTCCGCCTGATGGGCCAACTTCCTTCTTTTCTTCCCTACAAAGAAAAATAAACAAATATTAAATATTCTCATATGCAATAGTTGGGTTCATTCGGAGTATATGGTTCGCATCATATGAGATTTACAAAGGTGTGGATAGCAAAACACCATCTTCGAACAAAGTCTGGATAATACCGAATACTCCTTTCCGATGAAATTATTATACATTTATGAAGAGTGGCCTGATTTTCTCCATTTTAGAACATGATAATCCTTGATACAAATACTACCTGTATCTGCTTGTCAGATTGTGCAGCTTATTTCTAATTTCTTCTCCTTCTCTAATTTCTTCTCTCTCCGAAGCAGTCATTTCTCCTGCCATTTTAGCAAACACATGTGCATTTTTCTTGACTCCTCGTATTTTGTCCATGTGCTTGTCCCACAAGGACAACAAAAGTTCCTCTCCTCCGACTGACCACCACGTTTTTGTTTATTTCGCTTCATGCTGTAAAAAAAACACATTTATATTTTTATATCACAATAGTAACATATTAATTCTTACCTTTCAGTTTCCATTTTTATTAATAATATTTGTTTGTTTTATTTTTTCTTTAGCAATTTGTGTTTTCATTGGTTTTTTGTTTGACAACAATTGATAATGAAAACAAAAAACATGTGATAACAGTTGCAAATTTTGTTTTATTATGAGAGAGATGTATTTTTTTTTCGTACAAAAACTGCGTTGCATCACATTAGTATCATGATTTCGATCATGATTTGAAATAAACCCTAAACCCTTGCGAGATTACAGCGAAAGGGATTACGTTCCCTCGTGCTGCGACAGCGGAATCCCCAGCGAGTCTACGTCGTCGTCTTCTTCGTCGGAGTACGGAACTCTACCGCAGTCTCCTCAACAGCAACGATGTATTCAGCACTTAACACCACACGTTTCTGCAATTTAATTGCAACAGTCTTCGAGGAAAAATAGATGAGATAGTGGACTTCATGAATCGGAAGAATATTTTGGTCTCGGCGGTGCAGGAAACCAAGCTCAAAGAAAATTGTAGCCTACAGCGTTGTGATGGTTACAACGTTCTGAGGAAGGATCGCACCAGAAGTGGAGGTGGAGGCCCAGCATTCCTTATGCACCACTCTGTTCAATACAGGCTCAATAAGGACAGAGTGTCACAGTTCGTCAGATATAAAAATTATGTCACCAGGTCTAATAAATGACGTATGCTGACAGCCCGTCATTTCTCTTGGCTCAAACCACCTCCCCATAATCGTCTCCATTAGCAGACCGCCCGATTTCGTCATCTCTGAACGCCTCACTTTCCTTAACCATAGGAAAGCCAACTGGCAAGGATTCAGAAAGTTCACCAACCAGCGCTTCAGAGAACTTTCCATTCCTTTCGATGTACGGGTAGCAAGATTTATACCTGCTGGTCGAATACCCAAAATGAGACCTAATTTCCCAGCAGAAGCATTTGGTGTAGCAAACGAGCGTGGTGAGCTCCGTCGATCTAACCCAGCAGATCCCAGTGTCAGGGAACTTACGTTGGAGGTCAGCAGATTTGTCGCGGAGCACAAGAGGAATAAATGTTTGGAGCACCTGAAGAGTTGCAACATTGGTACCGGAGTAAGTAAACTGTGGGCAACATGAACCCTGGTAAGAAGGACGATAGGACCTCAGTCACATTTAACAACGAAAATGTGACTGATCCGAAGAGATGCGCAAGTTACTTTGACCGACATTTTGTCGAGCATCCCGAGAGCGACAGGGCGAAGAAAAGAGTACTTCGTCGTATAAGATCTCTTCCAGCCGAGGAGGTACCACCACAGTTTACGATGGGTGATGTTGCATGTCATCCGTAACGCGAAGTCGTCTAAAGCTTTGGGCCCTGACGAATATCTATGTGTATGTTGAAGCAGCTGGACGAGCCAGGAGTCGAGTACTTGACCAACGTTTTCAACTTGTCGATAGCCACCCACGTCGTCCCCTAAGCCTGGAAAATGGGCAGAGTGGTCCCGCTTCTGAAGCCGGGCAAGGATGCCAGCAAAGGTGAATATTACAGGCCGATTTCACTTTTGCCGCGGATAGCGAAGACCCTTGAGGCTTTACTCCTCCTCCAAGCTATCCAATTGCAAATCAACATGGATTCCGTAAGCAACACAGTACAACAACAGCACTCATATAAGTAGAGGACTTAAACAGATATAACAGCCTTTGATAATGTCAACCATGCCACGCTATTTGAGGACATTGAGAGCACTTCCCTCCTGTCGAGTTTGAAACTTTGGATAATCAGCTATATGTGTGGACGCCCGTCGTACGTGTAGTTCCGGAACAAGAAGTCCAAACCCCCAGGGTGGAGTGATTTCTCCGGAACTGTTTAACCTCTCTTTCAGGTATTCTACGCCCTCCGGATGACATAGAAATTACATATGCAGATGATTGTACGATCATGGCGTCGGGTCCCATGTGTGAGGTTGAACGCCTATCTCGTCGAATTAGCAGCCTTCTTCAAAGGGAGGAATATGAAAATATCCGCCTCGAAGTCGTCAGCGACATTATTCACCACATGGACTGCGGAGATGAGAATGCCGTTGAATGTGCACGTCGAGGGGCATACAATTTCTACCACCAACTACCCCAAAATACTCGGGGTCACATTCGACAGTATGTTAAAATCGTCCGCACAAAGCGCAGCTATCTGCGATAAGTTGAAAAGTAAGAACAAGGTCCTCAAGTCGAACTTTAGTGATACGCAATGGAGAAGTATTCAGACCTATCAGAACGCCGCCCTGAGAACTGCGACAGGGTGCCTCCTCATGACACCAGTGGACCATCTTCATGAGGAGACGAAGATCATTCCCTTACGTCAGCATAGCAATATGCTTTCGTTGCAATACCTGCTCGGGTGTTTCAGGGACGATCGTCCCAACCATCATATGGTGTATAGGACTCAACCACCCAGGCGTGTCAGGAAAGATCTGCATGATCTAGACAAGGAGGTCCAACGTTACAAAAGGGAGCCTCTGGATCACGTTGCCTATAGAACAGGTCTGAATGGCATTCATACTGATGCTGTAGCCGCAGCGCTGAACGGGTACAAATTGAATGCCGGCCTCGAATACGGGCCCTCATACCACACTGCACTTATTCAATTGCCCAGCCAAATCTACCCATCTTACTCCAAAAGATCTGTGGTTACAGCCAGTGGAGGTAGCCGCATTTATAAACTTGGAGACAGAACCAGATGAAAGTTAAACAGAAAATTTAATTCATATAAACTGCTACAACAACAACAAATAATGTCTGTCCCACAAACTCCAAGAATGTGAAATTGTTTACTACTATAACAATATTGGTCTGTTCCCGTACTGCAAGAATCTACCAGATTTTACTATTTTCTTCGATATCATAAAGGAAGATTCGTTATCGTAGTAAAAAGTAGTAGTAGTGTTCTTTAAGAAATCGACAAAAATAATAATTAAAATTAGTAGCTTCTTGCAGTACGGGAATAGACCAAAAACGGGAATAGACTAATTGACATATATGCAAATGAATTGACAATAGTAACCCACTGGGTAAAGAAATTCGGTTAAATGTAAACGTACTATTATTGGAAATTTTAAAATTAAATATTTTTTATCGATATTCTTTGGCAAATAAAATTATTGGTCTGTTCCTGTACTGCAAGAATATACGAGTTTTTACTATTTTTCCGATATCAAAAAAGGAAAAAAGTGTTATCGTATTATGGTAAAAGAAAATTAAAATTAAATATTTTTTATCGATATTCTTTGGCAAATAAAACTATTGGTCTGTTCCTGTACTGCAAGAATATACGTGTTATCGTATTATGGTAAAAGAAAATTCTGAAATATGTTATAATTGATGTCATAAAAATGAAACATTTATAAAGAAAATCGAAAGTCGATCATGAAAAGTCGGCTTTGCGATTTCTCCCATGATCAAAAGTCGACTTGTAGACTTTTCATCGCAAAAAGTCGATTAATCGATAACACAAAAGTCGACTTACATATCCCTAATCATAATTTGCCTAAACCTCATTCGTAAACAACACGGTTTCCATTTAGTCTCCATCCCACCTCATTCGTAAACTTTCGGTTATACTTTATCGGCCATTTTGTCTTCTCCTCCCATTCGTTAGCACGTTGGAACGGTTTCAATTTTTTTAGTCGTCGTTTTTATTTTAGCTCCGTTCCAGAACCTAAAAGAATCTACTAATTTTAAGTCCTGATTTATATAAGGCGAGTTTACTTGTGACAATTTTTATCGTTCTCTTTTGAACTTGCTCCATTCGTCTATACAAGGCAATTCGGTTTCCAAAAAAATTTTTTATTTGTTGTTTTTCACATTTAAATATATATAAAATGTCAACAAATACGAAATACACAAAACTAATTGCCAGAAAATTGTCGGTACGAGCAATTTTTTTCCATTTCTATTCCCCTTGCCCCTCTCTCCTACAAACAAAGACTTGTCGCAAGTAAACTCGCCTAATCTAAATCAAGACTAACTTTTTACTCGAAAAACGTTCCTGAATCCATAAAACTGGTAAAACATTGAATCAAATTTAAGAGAGCACAAAACAAAATGGCTTTCTCTTTGTAAACTTTTTACTCGAGTAAAAATTGTAAACAGGAATGCCTACTTCTGATTGGCTGTTATGTTGATTTTGAAGAATTGCCATCTAATTTTGGCATATTTACTAGATTTGCGTTCCCGAACTTGTCAAATTATTTTGTACTCTGAGACTTATTTTGAAATGTTTCCCTTTTACTAGCTTTACTATTAAAAAAGTACTGGAACAGACCATTTGTTGGCGAACGTTTGCGTACGACGTCGCTTGAGTCTTGGCAGAACGACGATTAACAAGCGAATTTTATGAAGACTGGAGTCTTGGAGGCTTCCCTCTCATTGTACAACCGCATAGTACCTTTGCTCCATATAATTCCTTTACTCCATACAGTTCCTTGCTCCAAATAGTTCTTTTGCTACATATAATTCCGACTCCTACATAGTTCTTTTGAATCTCTCTTTCATCATTCTTTTTTTTTCGTTTTTCCATATATAGTTCCTTTGCTCCATACAGTTCCTTTGCTCTTTATAGTTCCTTTGCTCCATACAGTTCCTTTGCTTCAAATAGTTCAAAAAAGGAACTAGATCAGAGAAAGGAACTATATTAATTAAAGAGCTGGAACTAGTTCCGATCGTTCCTTTCTCGGAATAGTTCCAATGAACTAGTTCGTTCCGGAACTACTCAACTCTACTATTCATCATCAAAATAAAAGTGAATGAAGAAATAAAGAAATAAATTGTAGAAATTGTGTATTTATAGCCAAAAATGCTCAGCGACAAAGCAATAAAACTATTAGTAATTGGCGAAAGTGGTGTGGGGAAATCAAGGTGAGCAAAATAAATGTGAAAAAGCCAAATAAATTAATGTGGAATCTGTGGTGTTGTCATCAAAACTATTTTGCGTATTTAGATCATCCAGTTGTAAACATACACACAGTGCGTTGTGCGCGATATGTGTGTGTACAAAAACAAGAGAATATTAATTTATATTTGTATAAGGTTTTGTTAAAAACAAAGTTCATCATCGGTAGGTTTTGTGGATTTCTCAGTCCATTGCATATGAGTGCCTATTGACTGCATTTTTGCCGGACGTATATATGTAGTTGGTGATATGACATGATCTTTGACACATTCCATTTAGTCATCATAAACCTAATTGAGCTGGTTCTTCAAATGTATATCTTTATACTACAAATACAATTTGATAACATGGAATACAACACAAATTGCATAAAATAATTTGCCAGCATCATTACATCCCATAAGTTCTGACAGCTGCAATAAAATGTATTCCTTAATATGGTTGTGTTGAGAAAATGGGAAATAGGTTCTGATGTTTATTCAGTCAAAATAGAATAGTTGGCAGGTCCGACTCTGTGTCATCCTACACAATTTTCTATTGTTGCAGATTGATTATAACTGATTTTGCGCGTTGCTGTCGGTGCCTATTGACTTGCATTGTAAAAAGAAATTAGAATTACTTGTGGATTCAGTTAAATTTGTGAAAAGTGGCTTGTTGTACATAATTCTATGTTTCGCCGAAGTTTTCATACAATAGATTAGATCGGTCCATATTTAGCAAACTTTGCTACTGAACACATGTGGTCTCTTCCCGTACTGCAAGAATATACTAGTTTTTACTACGATAACGAATTTTCCTTTATGATATCAAAGAAAATAGTAAAATCGAGTAGATTCTTGCAGTACGGGAACAGACCAATGTTGAGCGTAAATCAAAAGTATTTTCATTTGAATTTTGAAAGCTGAAGTTGTCAAAAAAAAAAAAAAAACATATGAGACTACCTTGTATAATTATGCCATAAGTAATTACTTTAAAAAAGTCATTCGAAATTGTTTCGAATTCCGAAACTTTTTTGAATCGAACTACAAAATACCAAAATAATCTGCACAACAGCGTGATATAGGGTACAAAAGATAATTCGGTTTCTTATTACAATGCCATGCCAATATACTAACGCCGTCGTTATATTTTGTAAGGTCTCTGTTGAAAATGACAGATGACAAATCAGCTGTTCTCCCTTTACGAAATAAAGCATTGAGAAACATAAGTAGAAAGATTTTGTATTAAATGGCTTTAATTCAAAAATGGAATGCGTTAAAACGCAACAAATCCTTTAAATATGGTATCCCGTTTCTTGTACTAATGGTTGGAGGTTCATTTGGTCTGACGGAATTTACAAAATTGAGGTAATACAGTTGTTACACATTCTTCTTTTGAATAGCGCTCGCTAATGGTGAATGTCTTTGCCCCCGATTTCAGATATCAGTTCTCAAAACAAAAAACCATAACTCCCGATGAGATGGAACAACACGGGGTAAAAATGAAGAAGCCCGAAGAAGTCACAATAGAAAAAGTTTATGAAACTGTAAAGGATTTGAACATAGACGAATGGGAGAATAAGCGAGGCCCCAGACCGTGGGAAGAAAACTAATGTTATACACAACGGACTTTAGTACAAATACTGTAATTCTTATGTGTTTAAATCTTGTTAAAAAAGTTTAATAATAATGTAAAATATTTAATATATACATAACTGGCAAATGATTCATTTCGGTCTCTTTTGTTAAAAATAAAAATGCCAGTGTAGAGTTCATCGCAATTGGATAATACATGTGACCAATACTTCAATTACAAACATGCACAGAGGGGGACAGCATACATGAATGGACTCACAATATATTTCAAATATGTATATGCTCAAAAGTAACTAAGGGGGTATATTTATTCCTTTTGTATTTCACATACAAATTGAGAGGATTTGGATAAGAAGGATGCAAAAACAAACACAATTGCCGTCTAATTTAATAAATTTTAATATTGTTCATAAATATAAGCATTGTTTGGTGGCCTGGCGTAACAAAAAGTTTAAATTTACTATTATCGCTTCCGTCTTCGCTTCGGTCTTCCTGATAATCTTAAATAACTATTATGCCATTTCTAACATTTCTCTAATTTCAGTCTCATTCGTCGATTTGTTGAAAACAAATTCGATGAAAGTCATGATGTCACAATTGGTATGGACTTCAAGAGTAAAGTGATGAATATTGATGGTGTAGATTATAAATTGGCACTCTGGGATACAGCTGGTGCTGAAAGATTCCGCAGTCTAACACCCAGTTTCTATCGGAAAGCACTAGGTGCCATTTTGGTATATGACATTAATAGCAAAGAATCACTGGTCAAATTGGAATCATGGTTTGATGAACTAGAAAACTACAGTGATAATCCAAATATTGCCACAATTGTCGTCGGCAACAAGATAGACGAGGAACGCGTTGTAAGTCGTGAAGAGGGTCTGAAATTCGCAAGAAAACATCGATCGTTGTTTTTGGAAACTTCCGCCAAACATGATAAATTCGTTGCCGATGTTTTTCGAGATATCGTAGAAAAGGTAGGATTTGCACATATATAATAACGAATTACGTTCTATCTATTTAAACACTGTATTTCCTTTAGATTGTCACATCAGGTAATTTTGAACAGTACAATAACGGCGACCGGATTGATGTACGTAATGATGACGACGAAGCAGCAGCATCATCGTGCAGATGTTGATCTACAATATCAATATTTCATTATTTTTTTCAATTGCATTTCTTTTTGTCAGCCTTCTATATGTTTGTAGCGCAATATTGAAGAAAACTATTATTAATCTTAATCATTTTTACAACGTTTATGTTATAACCAATATTTAGATATGAATGAAAATACTGGTAGTAAAATATAGTATTTATTATGTAATTGTGTACCAGCAGAAACTCTTTTATGTCATAAGAATAAATCAATCATCACAATAGGTTTCTACCTAAAAATGTGTTCCTTATTTATTTGTATTGTAGATACTATTCAGTTTGTTGATGATAGCACACACATTCAACTTGGGTTTTAGTTAGTCCGAGAGAAAAATTTTCAGTGGAGGTTTAATTAAGTCAGAATAGGACATCACTCACAATAAGGAGTGCAGCATAAAAACATATAAAATAGAAAAATGAACTAATTTTATTGAAACTCATTAAAAATATAAAATTGAATTTCTGTTGGAAATTTTAAAGTTTTAAAAAATTCCAATGACCACGTTGAAAGGTAATATAATTTGAATTAAATAATATATCCATATAAAGTATATTTGTAGCGATTTTAAATTATTTACTATCACCCATATTTCCATTGTTTTATCGACCACAACGTTATAGGCGTACAAATAAACCCTATTGCAATAGGCAGAGCAAGACACGGGTCTTTTTGGATTGTAGATTCAATGTCGTGGAATCGAACAACTCTTGCCAGTTTTCGTGTTTATATCGTATAGGGCAAATGCATAATTTATTCATGTTCCCTGTCATATACAAAATTGGTATTACTTTTTATAAAATTAACTCCGCCACTTTCTCTGTGCAATATTTTAAGAACACAAGTACTGCATGTATGTCCAATCTCATGATATTTATTTAATTCGATGTTTAATGAATAATTAAAATATGTAAAAAATGAAATTAATTGGCTTATTTTACAACAAATGCAATTCAATGAAACACACTGATTTTTTTGAAAGGATAGATAAAATTCAATCCTAACTTTATTTTTTTTTTAATATATTTTGATTCGTTTTTTTCTTCTTTCTTGTTTTTACCGTACCCTACAGCAAATGCGAATTTGCATTGGGTTAACTACTAGTTCTAAGTCTTTCTTTTTTCACAATATGTACGTACACATAAATATTGAGAGTAATCCAAATATGTTTGTTCGGTTTCATTATTATCATTTTTTGTTTTTCTTTTTTACTATTATGTTATTGTTGTTTTGTTTTTATTTGTTTGCAAATATGTAATTATTTAATACACAAAATCAAAGAATGTTTTAAAAATAAGAAATTATTTACCTAAACCGATCTTTTTAGCATCCACTTCGTAGATGAGAAGTCTCCACATTTTGACAACAAACACCTCGGCTTCTTCGTCAAGTACCTTATTATTAAAAAAAAAGTTTTGACAATTAATAAAAGTTGTGTGTATGACGTCTTAAAAATTGTAGTTACTTACCATTTGTACATCATCTAGAATACTTTGAGGTGAACTGCCAGCTAAAACTTTGGAGCAAATAAAATCAACCAATGTTGGCTCGGGTTCTCCAATATATTCAATGATCTTCTTATTTATCCAAGGACGTATTTTGCGCTCCATAAGATTGTTGTCGATCTCGTTGCGATCGAGTTTGTAGTTAAACAAATCCTCCTTCTGCGTGGGTATCCTGTCAATAATGCTTTTTATGTGGCGTCGTTTTTCATCGTGTACCTTTGTACCACTACTTTCATCCTTTTTGCTACTTGCTGCTGCAGGAACAGCATTTGTATCATTCTTACCGTGTTTTTTATTTGCAGCTGAACTTCCTCCTCCCTTTTCGGCAGAAACCGAGGCTGGACCAGGGGCATTATCGTGCCTATCGCCTGTGTTCGTTGCCACCAAACCATGCGAATTCTGCAGTTTAGCCTGATTGTCGTCATAATCTAAAATTGTATTGGATGTAAGTACATATATTCCAATTGTACCACCAATTACCGTAATGCTTACCTAGAGGTACCAATTTTCGTTTCTTTGAGTTGGAGACATCGTCATTGTCGTCATCAGCGCTAAAAACTCCAGCAGTGCTTTCGATTTTCTTCTTTTTCGCGTTGGCTCCCAAATTTAGACTGATGCCAACTGTCGGCATAATCGGAGGTGTTGACACGGAATCGTTGGTTTGTGCAAAGCCTTGTGGTGTGGCGGGTGACATTGATTCGATATCATCGGCATTTGTGTAGTCTCGAGACTCGGAATCATGCCGACTATAACGACTGCTGGCATTTGACATGGTGTCATGTCCAGAAGCATCATCGTGGGATATGGAATCAATTGATCTGGCTTTCGATACAGGTCTTGACGGCCTACTGACAATACCAGTGGTTGGTACCGCCGATGCCCCTACATGTCCACTTCCATCATCATTTCGGTTATACACATCTCGCTTGTCCGAAGTACTGTTGTTCTTCTCGCGATCCCTTTCCTGCTCCTTTTCCTTCCTTTGCATGTTTTCCTGATTGACATCTATAATGATTTGTGGTTTATAGAGGCGTTCGTGTTCCTTTTTCGCCCTTTCATACTCTTGCGTTGGATTATCAAATTCTCCACTGAAAATCTTGTTTTTCAACTCATCCAACTCCTCTTGTTCCTTATTGCGGTCTTTAGCGTCAAGATCAGCCTCTCGCACTCGTTCGGCCAGACGGCGTTGTAGTTCTCTGCCTCTAAAATTAGAAGAAATTGCAGTTAATAACATATGTATACTTGGGCACCTTTGTTTTACTTACTTGTAGTACTTAACGTCGTCTCGTTCATCGTCATAGTCTTCTAGGAACTCTTTAAGGCGCTTTGCTTCCTTTTCGCGCTCTTCTTGCTTGACCTTTTCTTTTAGACGAACCTGTAAATGTGATGTTTTTTGATGTAGCATAGTTCGAAGGGGCGTTTCAAAACAACTTACCTTTTCGTATTCCTTAGCTTTGCGTTTTTCTCGTTGCTCCCAATTCAATAGCCGCTCTTGATAGGCTTCCTCCTTCTCACGGGCTTTCTTCTCAGCTTTTTTGCGTTCTCGGATCTCTTCTTCCATTTCCTTTTCACGCTGCACATCTCGAACATTTTTTGTAATTTTTTCATTCCGTTCCCTGTAACATGAAACTGTTAGTATTGTCCAATAACTAAATAGCGTTATTTTACCTTTCTCTTTCCCTATCACGCTCCCGCTCGCGTTCCCGCTCTCTTTCTCTTTCACGTTCTCGCTCTCCTCTTTCCCGTTCACGTTCCCTTTCTCGTTCGCGTTCACGCTCTCGCTCCTTTTCCCTCTGTTCTCTTTCCCTCTCCCTTTCACGTTCACGCTCTCGTTCACGTTCCCTATAATCGCGTTCACGTTCTTTAGTTCGGGAAGGGCTTCTTTTACGACGAGGTTCCTTAACAAGTTCTGGCTCTTCCTTAATGCGTACAGGCGAGGATATAGCACATTTTACAGTACCATTCTCATGTTCGTCAGCATCCCAATCCTGTTCGCTGTCGCTATTGGCTTTGCGTTTTTCCTTGTCCTTTTGTTCACGATCTCTCTCGCGATCACGATCTCGTTCACGTTCGCGTTCTCGCTCTCGTTCCCTTTCTCTCTCCTTGTCACGCTCTTTTTCCTTTTCCTTCTCTTTCTCCTTTTCCCTTTCTTTTTCTTTCTCCTTGCGATGCTCATCAGCTTCTGCCCTTTTACGGAATTTACCAATTTCACTGCTAATAAGATTTCGCTTGTCCTCTTCCAGATTTGTCTCATTAAGAGCTTTCGGAACTTTCACTTCATCAACACGTCCAGGTTTTATTTTTCCACTGCGTCCAGTGAACATGTCGTTCCTGGCGTTAGGGTCACATTCTTCGATTTCCTGTCGGTGTTCCTCAATTATCTGACGCATTAAACGCAGGGCATCTTCGTCATTTAGTTTCTCATTTTTCTCCTCAATGGCTCCGTTTTTTCGTTCTTCTTCTTTGAAGTTATCCAACAAGAGTTTATTTTTGCCATCCACTTTGGCCACCAGTTTCCTGCCGTCCACTTCAATTTCGCTAAGCAGTCGCACGGCCCGCATACCCGCCGTGGGTCCGCTAAATATACAAATGAAAATTAAATTAAGTAATAAAAAAAAGACTCTTAACTACGATTCCATACTCATATTCACAGAAGCCAAATGTCGATACCCGCTTCCAATTGACCACAGGTCCACATGTTGCCAGTATGCGTTTTATTAGAACTTCGGGAACGCGTTCACTGATATTGCCTGAAATTAACAAATAAACACATCAGAAATCAGATAATGGGCTTGTGTTGGTTGCCTTCTTAAAAGAAACATTACCAACAAACACCGTTATAACTGGTCCTGGCTCCAGAGGTCTTTGATAAACTGTTGGCTGTGAACTAATAGTGGCTGAATTCCTATAACCTCGTGAAGGTGGCGGCGGATGACCCATCATCTATAAGGGAAAGACAATAAAACAATATGCTCTCCTCACAATCGAAATACCTTCTACAGAAGGTCAACTTACATGTGGCGGGGGTATGGATGGATTCATGTAGGGAGCCATTGGTGGGCGTGGTGGATAGGACATTTTGCTGTTTATTATTTTGTTCCAAAATGTTTCAATTCAATGCAATGACAAAAATCCGAATGAAATGAAATCTTATTCTACTGAAAACCTCTTCGCCTCTCTGTGCAATCGACAGACACACTGGTTGGATGGTTGGTATAAGCAGCAATCAAGCAAGCCGACTTAGTTTGCGGCGTGTGCCAGTCGGTCGCTGGTTGGTCTACTGCAAAAATTAAATGCACCAACAACAACACACACTATTTTCTGTTGACAAATTTCTTACTTCTGCGGCACTATCTTTTCAGTGGCATTCGTACAAATCCCCATTTGTCAGAAAATAAATTCCAATTAAATAATTTCTATAATTTTTTGTTGAGGAAACAAAACAACCAACTAACAACTCGCGGAGAATTTGACGAAACTATGACAAGACAAAGATGGCGATCGAAATAGGGATCTATAAGGCAATAATCGATTAGTCGATGTAATATTAAGCAATATGTCGACACGTTAAATTATTTGGTTGTATAAGAAATCCTTGATATTTTTACTTTGTTCAGAAATTTTATTTTCGAGCAAAATGTCAACATAGTTAGGGTCGTACCTAAATTCATGCGTATGCGTAAGAATTTATTCACCTCAAAAGTTAAATACATGTATTTCAATGAATATTACCCAAATACGCATTGCGTATCAAAATATAAAGTTGAAAATTTTCAACATTGAGAAATTTGTTTTTTTATGCATATAAACATTTTTCAATCATTTAAAAAAATATTTTCATCCATTTTCGCCGTTTTCAATTGGCACAGATTGAACACCGAAGAGCAGCGCACATAAACTTCGAGCGTTTGTGTTATCGTTTTCTTCGATAACATATAACGCGACGGATGGATCAACGCGAACATTCTGCTTAGCCCATAAAGAGGTGTACACACTAGCACTTTTGAATGACACTCTTGCCCGTTTGATAGTGTGACCCTCATGTTTATCATTTATTAGGCAACCACAAAAATATTCATGGTCGAACTTTATTTTTTTTACAATAAATCCTCCAAACTGTTGACAGATCGGACGACCTTAAAGGGCTAAGCAGAATGCTCGCGTTTAGCCATCCGTCGCGTTATATGTTATCGAAAATACAACAACCACAAGGAAACGATAACACAAACGCTGGAAGTTGTTGTGCGCTGCGCTTCGGAGTTAAATATATTTTAACTTTTTGCGTGCGTTAAAGGGCTAAGCAGAATGCTCGCGTTTAGCCATCCGTTGCGTTATGTGTTATCGAAAATACAACAACCACAAGGAAACGATAACACAAACGCTCGAAGTTGTTGTGCGCTGCGCTTCGGAGTTAAATATATTTTAACTTTTTGCCTGCGTTAACGCGATAACAAAAAACGCTCAACGCGAACATTCTGTTTAGCCCTTAACGCGATAACAAAAAACGCTCAACGCGAACATTCTGTTTAGCCCTTTATTACTTGGCCATGAACGACACCTTGCCACAATAAATAGGTACTCCATTTAGCGCAGCTGACTATCCTATTAACTATCAAAGTCAAAAATTTCAACTTGAATTTGACTTGCAATGTTGCCAACTATGAAAAATAATACTAGATAAAATTTGACAGATGGTCAGGTTTCAAAATATTTGTTTTTATTTTGACATTTTGTGAAGATTTTTTCCATTTCCATTCCCCTTGCACCTCTCTCCTACAAAAAAAAAAAAAAAAAGAAATTGCCGCAAGTAATCTTGCCTAATCTAAATAGGGACTTATAGATTGCTTGTGCTTCTACAGTGAGTCACAGAAAAAATTAAATTAATAAAATGTAATTCTTTTATATATCCTAACTTAAAAATAATGAAATAATTAGCCAAAATCCTCCGTAAAACACGGAGGAGCCTCTGCAGTGGTATGGGGCAGTGCCGGAGTATGAAATCTCGTTTTTATTGAATTATGATTAAGACACATTATTTAAACATTCTAAAAGATAATTTGAAAAGTCGTGCTTAACTATAGGCATTGGGGACAACATTTCAATTTTATCCAGATAATTATCCCAAACACAAGTTCACAAGATCCCTAACACAATCGTTCGGGAATAGAAATAATTGTAAAAAAGTGATTCAAATACGCTGGCAAAGTTGATATACTTTTTTATGCAAAAGATAAAAAAGTATATCATACTAAGTATTAACCACCCACAAATCCCATTGTTAAAAAATCTTTTATCTTGAATTTAATTCATTGATTAACATGCACTTATGAAATTTATATTATCAAAAACCTAGGTTAGGTTTGGGGATGTGCAGTCACGTGTATGACTGCAACACTCTGAGACCGGTTAGGTCCGTTGTGATCATCCACAAGAAGAGATACAGCGAAGTGAAGAGACAAGAGATAGATCTGTAGGGGAGAGAAGATTTGTGAATTAAAGGAGTTAAGAGTGAAGGTCGATGGTCCTATGAGTCAGACAGAAAAGTGTTACGTGCCAAGGCTGTTTGCTCCTAACCACTTTATGTTTCTAATTATGCTGTAGATTAGAGCAGGTTCGGTTGTTGAGAAGAGGCTGAGACTAGGTAGAAAATGAGCACCCATTAGTCTGTGCCGCCTGTAAGCCAGGGCTGGGCACTGGCACAGGAGATGCTTAATTGTCTCCGTCTCCTCCTCGTCAACACAGAGTCTACAGTAATCAATTGCATCGAGATCCCATTTACTAGTAAAGGCCCTGATGTTGCAGTGACCAGTGATGATTCCTGTCACCACTCTAATTTCGGCTTTACTCAGGTTCAATAGTGAACGCGTTCTTTTGGTAGACAGAGTCGGCCAAATGGATCTTGACACGTTGCACCTAGGTTCGTTGTGCCAAAGTTCACAGGCTGTTTCGTGAAAGAATGCCTCAAAATTCCTATAAAAGGTGGTTTGATTGAGTCATCAGTTTCTAGATCGGTGGATTGAGATCCTCGTCTAGCTAGTTCGTCCGCTCTTTCATTACCCAAAATGTCACAATGTCCTGGTACCCAACACAACCGATAGCTACGGTTAAGTTCTTCCAGAGCTGCTCTACACTTGAGGACGGCTTCGGATTTGATGTGACAAGATTTGATGGCTTTAAGAGCCGCTTCCACAAAGATAATCACCGGTTCAACGACCTCAGCATCCAGACTTTTTATCAATTCCGCTGCCTTCCAGATCGCGAAGATTTCAGTTTGAAAACACTGCATTTGCTATCCAGCTTGTAGGTTAACTCAAGGCCTAACCTTTCACAGTAGACGCCTGCCCCAGTGCCTTCTTCCATCTTGGATCCGTCTGTATAGAAAGCCAGACCGTCCAGAGGAGGGTTACTTCGTTTCCAGTCGTCTCTACTAGGAATTACGACATCTACATCGTCAAATCTAAGGATTGGTGATATATAGTAGCTTAGTTTAATGCGTTGGTCCAAAGCTATACCTGGTTCATTCAGAACACTACTATGCCCAAATGTACAGTTCCGCCAGAGTTTTTGTTCATGCAGCCGTAGGGCGCTACGCGCAGCGTGACACTTAATGCTGAGGCCCAAAGGCTTGAAATCCAGCATTGCGTTCAAAGCTGCTTGTGGCGTACTCCTTCTGGCTCCTGTAACTAAAATCGCGGCGGCTCTTTGTACCTTGTATAATTTACTAGATGTCGACTTGAGGCTCAGACAGTTCCACCAAACAAGAGAGCCATAGGACAAGATGGGCTTCACCACAGTGTTATACATCCAGTGTATAGTCGATGGTTTTAGCCCCCAGCTTTTCCCAATGGAGTTCTTGCATGCATAGAGTGCAATCATTCCTCTCTTCGCTCGCTCCTCAACGTTCCTTTTCCATCGTAGTTGACAGTCCAGGATTGTGCCGAGGTACTTTGCTTCGGGGGATAGGTGAAACATTATCAGTTCCGTCTTCGTTGGATTTACAGCAAGACCATTTGCCCTGGCCCAGCGTGACAGCGTCAGTAAGGCTCTTTGCATAAGCTCAGAGTTCGTAGACGGAAATTTTCCGGAGATCAATAGCACCACGTCGTCCGCATAAGCTACAACTTTGATACCTATCCCGTCGAATTCCCTTAATATGATATTAATAACCAGTAGCCATAGTAACGGCGAAAGCACCCCTCCTTGAGGTGTGCCTCTAGTTACCGTTTTCCTGATTTTTGCATCCCACACACTTGAATTTATAATCCTGCTGTTAAGCATTTTATCTATCCAACATGTCAGGGTATCAGGAATGCCAACTTCCCTAAGTGAGATAATTTTGACTCTGATTCACTGTGCGTAACTTTTGTATGCATTATTTTTTAAATCTTTTGAAAATAAATTTAAAATAACAATACATAGATACAATCGTATTTTATTATCCTCTTCCGATGTAGAAATTAATTTCATATATTTTTCTCTAGATTTCCTTTTTAAACTATTGTCTTTAAATGTTCCTTAATTCGATGATATTTGCTCACAAGCATTCAAAAATTACTTATTCGAGATTTGTAACTGGGAGACTCTTCACTAATTTGTATTTATTATATTTTGTAGCAATGAATCTTGTCGCAGCTCACTCTTTTGACCCAAATTGTTGAAATTTCGTTCCGCAGTTCGTTCGCATGTTAATTTGTCTAAAAATAGCATTTATTATGTCGACTGTCATCATTTGCTCCCTCATATATCCATTGAATTGGGCAAATATAAATTATTCGTCACTTGTTCATATATTCCTCCTTCATCGCAGCTTGATATCTATAATCAGCATATATTAGCAATACAATCCATAATTAATAAAATGAATGATTCGGACCGAATATTAGTTCTTGGCGATTTTAATATGCCATCTGTGAAGTGGCTTTCATTGCCAGAGTCAGAAGCTCTTACTGCATTGACATCTGATATAAATTTAAATCAATTTACTTCTGAAATTATTAATCTATTTTGTGACATTAATCTCCAACAAATAAATAATATAGTAAATAATCGTGAGAAAATCCTTGACCTAGTCTTCGTAAATCATACTCCATATTTTGAATTAGTTAGAATACCTCCTATTTGTATTCCTGAAGATAATTATCACCCAACTTTATGTATATCCATGATACATGATTATTTAACTTCTGACAATTCGTTAAACTCATTAAAAACTACTTTTAACTATAAAAAAACGAACTTTTGCAAACTCAACTCACTTATCTCATCTGTAAATTGGACCTCTATATGTCTTTGTAAGAGCCCTATTGATCTCGAGTTTACAATATATACTTTTTGTGTTACTCTAAACAAATTTATTTCTGAATGTGTTCCTACTGTTAGAACTAGAAGCTCTGATAGACATCCATGAAATACACGCGAATTGTCAAGTATAAAAAACTCAAAAAATAAACTTTTTAAAAAATATAAAAAATCTATAGACTATGCTAACTATTCTGATGCTAGATCAAAATATACAATAGAATCCCGAAGGTTGTATAATCTTTATCTTAACAAGATTAAGGATAATTTTAAATCCAATCCAAAATCATTTTATGAATTTGTTAATCTAAAAAGAAAAGTTTCTTCTAAGCCTACAATTTTAAAACACAATAACCAAGAATTTTCGAAAAACTCCGAAATTGCAGAATGTTTTGCAAATTTTTTTGCCACGACTTATTCTAGTACTACTTATCAGGTTAAAGACCCATATCCTTATGAACTATCAAAGATAGATCAAATATTTATGCCCTTCTTGCAAAGTCGAGAGGTATCCAAAAATCTACGCAGTTTAAAACCTATTAAATGTCCAGGCCCTGATGGTATACCCAGCATAATTCTAAAGAATTGTTCAGATACATTAGCATTACCTCTAACGTTATTATTTAATTATTCCCTTAAATATGGTTATGTTCCTACTTGTTGGAAGAAGTCTTATATAATACCCTTACACAAGTCTGGTAGTCTAACAAATGTTTCGAATTATAGAGGAATTGCAAAATTAAGTGCTATTCCAAAATTGTTCGAAAAGTTAATTACTACCGTTATTTCCCACAGAATTCAACCCTTGTTAAGTCCATATCAACATGGTTTTCGTAGTGGTCTTTCAACTATTACCAATTTTATACACTTTACTTCTACTGTGATAAAGGGATTTGTTCAGCGTAAACAAACTGATACAATTTATACAGACTTTAGTAAAGCTTTTGATAGAGTTAACCATAAACTTCTACTTTATAAATTAAATCATATTGGCTTTAGTATAAATTTGGTAAATTGGATTTCATCTTACTTACAAAATAGGACACAACTAGTTTTGTTTGAGGGATGTCTTTCAACATCGATTAATGTTCCATCAGGTGTTCCGCAAGGAAGTCACCTAGGCCCGATTCTGTTTCTATTGTTTGTAAATGATTTGCCAAATTCTGTATCGCATTCCAAATTGTTAATGTATGCAGACGATGTCAAGTTGTTCATTACCCATCATTCTGAAAAGCAAGCTGATTTACTCCAGCATGATTTAAATAGTCTATTTCAATGGTGCAGCCTAAATTGTATGGACTTGAATTTAAATAAATGTAAACATATTTGTTTTTCTAGAAATTCTTTCTCGATAAAACATTACTATATTAATGGCTCGGTTTTATCAACTGTAGATTCTTTCGTTGATCTTGGTATTTTAATGGATCCAAAATTAAATTTTAACAATCATGTTATATCTATGGTAAATAAAGCCTATGGTGTCTTAGGATTTATAAAACGGTGGGCCAAAGAATTCTCGGATCCATATATAACGAAACAACTATTTACGTCTCTTGTTAGACCTATTTTAGAATATGGTTCTGTTGTATGGGATCCCCAATATGCAATATATTCCGATAAAATCGAATCCGTGAAGAAACAATTTTTACTTTTTGCACTGAGAGGATTACATTTGAATAGTAGTTTTGTGTTGCCATCTTATACTAGCAGGTTAAAATTAATTCGTTTGCCTACATTGAAAAGTAGACGTATTATGTTGAATACTATGATGGTACTAAGAATATTGTTACGTTCTTGGATTTTACTAAATCCCGTGTAGACGTTTATTTCCCGACACAGTTCGTATCAAATAAAACGCGGGTTCTTTCAGATTACGATTATTACAATGACTTTATTCACACAACTTTACTTTGCACTTTACTTTACACGACGGTTTCAATTCGCGATCTGATTCACAACTGACTAACTGCCTTTCCATTTCCCCTATTTATATGAGCCTTGCTTGTCGCTACAGAAGTTTCTAGACGATCTGGTAACACCTAGATCACGAACAATCTACCAATGCAACACACATACAAACTTACATTGAGTGAACAATAACAACAACACATACAAACTTACATTGAGTGAACAATAACAACAACACATACAAACTTACATTGAGTAAACAATAACAACAACACATACATTGGCGAGGGGGTAACAAAGAAAGAGGAATTAAGCGATCATCAATGATGACGTTTAACAAGAATTGTACGACAATAACAAAATAGAAAATGGAAGAGGAAATGGAAGGATGTAGAAAAATCTATACAGTAGTTGTTGTTGTGAAGTTATTCGAATAAACTGCGTAGTAGAAATTTACGTTACAATTCAAATTCTTAAATTAACGGAATTCATCTTAAATCTAAAGTTATTTTCGTAACAATATTAAATGGTAATATACCTTCGGATTTCCTAATTTCTTATATTAGAATAAATGTTCCTGTCCGATCTAGTAGACACTATCAACTGTTATATGTAGACTTCCACCGCACGAATTACTCTATGGGAGATCCTCTTAGTAAAATGTGTATTGACTTTAACTCTGTATACTCTAATGTAGATTTTTGCTTGAGCGTAGAACAAATAAAATCTAATATTATCGTATTTTTAAATGAGTAGTAAAACTTAATAACAAACTGGCTGTTGAAGTAGATTCTGTAGCTGGTTTTTCTATTCCACTCTCAAATCCCATCATGATTCGGATCATGGTGTGTACGCGATCCCTACGTAAGGGGAGGTCGCCCCCTCGGTCGGCAGGGGTGGGAATGAGAGGCGTGGGAACGTCGAATAAAAAAAATAAATAAAACACTCAGTTATAATTTGTAGAATACGTACTTAAGATAATGTACTTACAACTTTCTTTATTAATATTTAGACGAACTGAAACACTTTCAAATGATAATAATAATAATCATACCATATAGCATAATATACCTACATTTAATAATTATAATCAAATACATACACTAATTACTTGCATTACCATGTAGTTGTTCATTGTGTTTTTTTTGGTTATTCTTGCAAAATATGATGGATGAGTGGACATGGGCGGGATATAGGGATATTGGAGTGATGTGAGCATTGGCGTTATCGACTAGATGTTGTGAAATGATCATTTCAACAGAAGTGAGGTGACTGACGCTTTATGTGATCAAACGCGGAGCATGCAGACCGTGCACATTTTCAATTGGTGGACAATGTGTTGCTCCCGGTGGACCCCAGTCATGGAGACCTCTCGAGTTTGCCAAGCGATGTGTTAGACGGTGGGCAATGCTGAATCCTCCACTACCTTCCAGCTGTGTCAGAACGATAATAACTTGCCTAAAAGTACAAAAACAGGACAATTGATCTTTAACTGATGTTACTATTTCGAAATTAGTCTTTACCTTTGAAGTGGCGGAACTGAGTCAACGGTTTTCAATTCGCCTCTGGTGGAAACAACATTGTAACTCTCCTGACAGTCGCATTTAACATGAATCCATTTGTTTTCATGTCGGTTTTCAACCATTACCACCAAGCCGGCCCAACCCTGAATATAAAAAACAATTTTTATGTTGATTCTGAAAGTATGCTGTAGTGACATTGTTTACCTTTGTTAAATAATAAGCAGTCATGCCCTCTCTGCCTTCATGGCGCTGTCCCTTTGTCAATGTTAAACTAATGATGGCATCTGCCAATAGATGTGGTGGGGGCGTTATCTGTTCTACAAGCAAACGTTTCGAGCTATGTATAGCTAAAATACAACGAGGGTATTGATGAGGATCTTCGATACCGGTGTGCCAGTGATTAAATGCTAAACAAACTAGTAAATAAATATCACGTTCCAACATTTTATGGCAGCCAACAAATCCGCGAACCTGCATGTAAAGCATCAGTGTGTTGGGTTAGGGTTTAAATGGAAGGCCACACACAATAAATAACAATTACCTGACGTTTACTGTGTTCCACCAGGCGGCCAATTTCGGGAGACGCTGGAGAACGTGTGCGAAAAATCACCACACACAAGTCCAGCTGAGAACGTTGTGACTTCTCTGAGTTTCGTTGTCCCTCTTGGAATAGAGTGAATTCGGCTTCAGTTGGTTCCAGAACAGTAAGGAGAACACATGACATAGAACATAGCGGCTGAAGCGTACCCTAAAATTGCGTATGGATTATTACTCACATGAACGCGTCATGTACTTCTCGTACAACTTACCTTTAGCCGTACTTCATTCCAGCCAGAACGTACTTTACAAATGTCTATGCAGTCAAAATAGTTCAGAACATCTTCGAATGATATCCAGAATACACCCTCAGATGCTCCGTGCGGCATTAAGGCTTCACGCAATTCATCAGTCCAAAGGTTTGAATCGTCAGACCAATCTCCACGCCATGAAAAATGTCCCCAGGGATTTCGCAGTTTCAAAAGTCGATGACCATGAATATCTTTGACGTCAAGAACTGAGTACGCGTGCCGTGGTCTTAGGCCCTTTCGATGATATTCGTCTTCGTCAACCTTCATATTGCCTCCACCGCAACTGGCACCCATTAGGAAACGTACCCCTCGCGAACTCAAGAGCTGAGCCCAAATGAGATCTTTGTCCAGTTCGTCCTCACTGGGCATTGGCAACGAACTAGCCTGCAACGGTATACTTTCACAAGGTGCTCCTGTCAAGGTGGCCAAACCCTCTATGGCTCTGCCCGAAACTAGAGCTTCGTAGCAGCCGTGAATTTTGGCCACTGCCTTCTCAATTAGAGGCACCCACAGCTGTTTCCGTTTTGCTTGGGAATAAACTAGATGACCACGCTTGTCGCATGGTAACAAATCATCGACTAATACCGTCGTCCACTTTCCGTCTTTACACAATCGAACTTGATACGCTCCCTGGGGACAAATCTCCTTGGTAACTAAAACTTCCCTCACTAGATCTTCGCGTTCTGCTAGCACAGCCAGTGCGCTTAAAAGCCAACAATTTCCCAAAACACCCTGACATATATCGGAGGGCAAGGGTGTGCGGAATACTGCCCAAGGTGGAAAGGCACCTCCGTCGCAGTTGATTTCATGTGGCCTTCTCCACTGTACAACCGGGTTACCCTCTGCGAGACTTTGCTGCGGATTATAGTACAGGCTCTTCGGCGCCGGGGGAAAGGAGTCATCGACAAAGAGTTCATTATTGTCGCGGCAGTACTGAATTATATTTTCCCATTTATGCAACGCCTCGGCCTCCTCAATTCGTCGCAGATTTTCCATTAACTTACTCTCCTGTTGCAGTTCGGCGGAATGCCGATTAGTTTTATGCAGCAGTGCCATTTTCGTTATATTATTCACCAATCCTCTGGGGCTGGAGCACATTTCACAGACGACCGATGCGGAACAATTGTCGTAGGTGCATGCAGGGCATTGCCAGGTTTTTACGGTCCCACTGCCAGTTCCGCTCGAACTGTGCCGTTGTTGTTGCTGTTGACTAGAACTGCTGATGATATTGTTGCTAGTGGAAGACACTACAGTGGTGTTACGTGACGATATAATTCCACCAGAACCGCCGGTACTATGTCTCTTTGGAATGGCCCCAGATGAGGAACGATTTTGTCGCGGAGAGGGACTTCTCGACGTGCGTATTGGCGGTAATTGTAAATTTGATGTTGGTGTAACATTTGCCGCAGAAGTCCGATGATGTGGACCAATACCAGGTGATATTGCATCGGGAATGAATACACTACCTCCTCCTCCACCTCCGCTTTGGTTAACACTGCGATGAATTTCTGTCGAAGTACCAACATTTTAGTCAAACACACTTTTTTAAAAAAATATTAACGATTTTATTACCTTCGGGAATCGGACACACCATACGATCTCGGTCACTTTCGATGGGCAGTGTTCGAACAGCCTTGCAAGCACTACACACTCCCGTTGCCAGTGAGTTTTTCAACGTGCACTGTGAACAAGTCCAAAATTCTCCCTTACGCAGTGTCATATCCTCAACAGAGGATATACTTTTCAATTTCGAGCCACCACAGACAACACATGCATGATCTTTAATGGAATTGACCAGTGTACATTTCTTGCAAGTCCACGTGGCAGCAATTGGAATTGGATCATTAGATCTTGGTAAGTTATCTGAAATGGAACACAAGTGGTTATATATGAAAAGTTAGGTGCGGTGAACTTAATGCGATTTCGATATAAATGTATATATGTACAGCATTACATACCAGTCGTGTGAATATCAGTTTTGGTAACCGTTATTAAATTGGGCTGTGTCAGAGATGGTTGAGTACGCAGATTTTCACAGATTTCGCAACGCTCAGTCCACATACGATTATAGGCATAGGAACAGTTTGTACAAGTCCACATTCTACGAGAATTTGGAATTGAATTATTGTCAGTACGTGTAGCTGCCATTGAAGTGCCGATATTATCTCCTCCACGATTCGAAGCGGCTGGGACATTAGATCTAAAAAAAGATCCCGGCGGTTAATAAATTTTAATTGAAATCATGTAAAATCTCAACGTCATATATTTTAGAAATTAAAGTTAGAACTAATAAACACAATAGCCAATTGTTGTGCAGAGTTTTTGGTGTGTGAGTCGGTGGGTGTGTATTAAAAATGTGTAAGTAAAAATCAAGATGTCTTTAAAGAATATAAGTAAATAAAACAAAAAAACAATATGAATAGCTAAATTAATATTAAATTTATTCGTGTCCCTTCTTTTGAATTTTAGTGGGATTTACAAAATTATACAGAGAATAAAAACGAAGGTAAACAAAAAGGAGTTAATTTGTTAAGAATATATTCCAATATAAACAACAGTGGTTGGCATACATTTTTGATTCACTGGTCTTACGGGGACCCTTCCACACTTTAGCATATATGGAGTGTTCAGCATTGCTATCGCCTTTTAAGGCGTCTGCGGTAATTGTCGTTGTCGTCAGAATCGGATCAAATTTATTGGTGGCATGTGTGTGCTGGGTTGCTTTGTTGACTGTCTGTCCCTGATTGTGATGATGTTGATGATCTAGACGAAGACCGCTGCCGCCACCTACTGCACCACTGCCACCATTGGCATCCAAAATTGTTGCATCGGCATGCAACATATTACCCATGATGTCGGATGTACTGCAAGCGGAAGAATTCGAAGAACTGGAAGGGTGGCTGGTATTTCCTCTCAATTTGACATTGCCACTACTACTGTTATGACCATTGTTGTAGTTATGGTTGTTGTTGTTATTCAATAAATGCGTCGTTATTGCCGCGGTGGCCGTTGCTACTGCCTTTGCCTGCAGATCGCTTAAAATGTGCGGCTGCTGCTGCTGCTGTTGTTGTTGAACGGCTAGACCGGCTAATTCATTTGATTGTTTATTTTTTGATTTGTTATTCTTATTGACCACAGCATAGAGGGGATGATTTGGAGCCGTAGCATTCGTGGCAGTTGTATTATCGTCAGTATCAACAACAGTCCCACAAGCCCCTCGACCAACAATCGAGGGTCTCTGTATAATGCAATCATTTTCATATATATGTTGTGACTTGTACATGCCCTTGCTGAATGTGGCATAGCAGATACCTGTGCTGGTGCCAGTATCATTTGAGCTGCGCCGTTGAACGGGCTTACGTTCAATGCTGTCGTTTCTATCGCAATATTGAGGCAGAGACTCTGCCTTCATCACCGGCTGGCGATATCGCTGCCTTTCATCGCTACCTAGTCCCCCACCGCCAGCGCCATTACCACCGGCAGCAAGCGTTTGACTATGAACGTTAGATGTGGTTTCGGAGTCTTGTGTCGCCCAGCAATCATTGACTGCAATAAATACACTGTTGCGTGGAATGGTAAATTTCTTGCTGGAATCGTCTACTTTATTTGTACGCGACAATGTCGTTATGGTAAAGTTACACTTTGCCTCACGATTCTGATTCTGATTATGTGTTTGGTTGTGCTTTCGACAAATTGTATCCTTACCGCCAACCAATTGATTCAAACGTCTTGATGATTGTTGTTGTAATGGTGGCAGTTGTTCGAATGTTCTTCCTAAAGTATTGAGTGAGAGATTACAATAATAGTGTATATATGACTATATGTTTGTTCTATATAATATGTTTGGTTATTTTTAGATATATTGAGAACATGAAAAAAAAAAACAATAAGAAAAACATGTAGAAACATATTTAATTTTCGAAGCATAAAACCCTACAAGGAAGGGATTGATTGGTATTGTCTTGTATTTGATAGAAGATGGACGACAAGTAAATTACGGACATTTTTTTAATTATTTCAACTGCTTAAAAATTTAAAATTGCCGTAACTTCTTTATATCTGTCGTTAGGGCCTAACAACAATTCAAAAAATGTTATTGTTATTTAAATATTTTTAGGTTTTAAAATTAAAATCTTTGTAATTTTGCAAACATTTGTCCATTCGTTTGACTGGAATATAATATAATCTTACTTGATAGAAAATTATATTTTCAAAAATTACCAATATATGTGTGTGAGCAAACCCCTGCCCCACGTTGGTATAAACCCATATAATGGTGTGGTAAAAACTAATTGGCTTCTATGTGTAATTCCGAGTTCTTACTGGTAAGGAAACTTATTTTTTCCAGCACTAGTTTAAATATTTTAAAGGTTCTAACATAATTGTTGTATGGTCACCATTTTTATGGACATATTAACCAATTAAAAGTAATAGATACACCACAAATAACGTAATATTTAGGGTAATGAGAAATAAATTGACATTATTATAATAGTGCACAGGAATTAACACATTTTCAGTATTTTCTAGAGGACGAAATGGGCAGGAACGCCGGTTATTAAACCCTCACAAATTGTTTGTTAGTATTGCCTAACCAACATTAAAAATTCGTGTATATTCGTGTATAATGTATTTTTACATAAATACTTTGCATTCAATCCAGCCATTAGATATAATTCGAAAAACAGCATAACTCTATAAAAAGCACACATTCAATATAAATTATTTTCTTCTAGCTTCTTGTAGTCTCAATATCTTTAAAATTTTGTTCAAAATAAATAACTTTTTTACAAGTGTCTACGAAAAAGTAATTTGAATTCTTTGTGAAATTGATAAACAATATCGTGAGTTGTTGTACTTCTTTGGTTAATTGCAATTATCATTTATTACAACAATTGTAATTGTCATCTATTACAGCAACTATAATATTATATTCTTCATTACTGCTATCAATACCAGAAATATTACTTTTATTTAGTCATTATCCATCAACATTACGTTTGTAATCAATGAACCATCAATCAATGAATTATTGTTATCAAATGACTCAGAACTTACTACAGGGACAACAATTAAATAACAACAATGGAAAGGGGAATTACAGAAACGGGAATTTGTTGTTTAATAAATAGCTATAATAAATGTAATTTTTACATTATTTAATGTTCTTTTAAGGATCCCAATATAAAACTAATAGAAAACAAATATGCCAACAACAAAGATTACAAACAAAAACAAAAGTAAAGTATATTATGTGCATAAACTTGCTCACCAAATAATTCGTTTGAGCTAGAAGCTCCACTGGCGGAAGAATATTTATGCATAAAGGTTTCGGGTAAGTTGAAAATATCTTTACGAGTATTGACAAAGCATATGTGACAACTGCGACATGAAAATGCCTTTTCCGATGTTAAGCTTTGTGTCCGACGAAAATATGGTGTCCTCTTGTCATTTCGCTTTGATTTTCCGTCAAGATTTTGGCCGCTATCAAAACTTGATTGTTTACAATTTGGCAATTTTCGATGGTTAAGTGTTTCCTTATATATGGGCGCTAAATAGCTAACTGTGTCGCAGATCAAACAATGCCAGGTTACTGAATTGTTGTCCGTGTCACATTTGTCGCATATCCAACGACGATTGAGGGAGGGATTCGAAAAATGATGAAACAGTTCTATGGAATTCTTTACGTATTTTCGTGTATTCTCACAGTCTACGCAGTTTGCCGGCAAATTTTGTTGATTGCGTTGCGGTCGCTTGAGGCAACCTCTAAGTAATGACTTATAGACGCGTTTGTATTCAGTCCTGCAATTTAAAATTCCATTGTATTATACATTAAATAAGTAAATAAATATTTAATACCATTATTTGTATATGTATGTTGTTATTTTCAGATTAGAAGTGATGTAGATAAGAAATAAACAAATGTACAAGAGCCGAAAGAACACATAATGCCGAAAAAATACAACAAAAATACTTTCAGTATGTACTGTTAGGTATGAATCATTTTATTTAAACTTTTTATATTTCCTCATGGTACAATTATAAAAGGTAACAGCAAGTCCCAGCTTATTTGATTCTAACGTAATACTAGTGTCAATATGAATTTGACAAATTATGTTTTTAAAAATCACCCAACAGGAAAATTGAAGCTATAGAAATATAAATTTGATAGATTTTCTTTTTATTTTATTTCCATTTTTCTGTCAAATGATGTTGACACTAGTATAACTTACAAAAACAAATTTCCATGTGGTTGTTGTATCGTTTGTTGTACAACAACACTTGCAGTTACCTTTATTATTATGCCATGATATTTCCTTAAGGTTCGGGGGGAACGATTGAAATTTTTAAATTTACATTTTTTTTAGGAAATTGAAGCTGTAGCTAAAGCTTTTGGGTTAAATTTTATAGTTAAGTTATTCATCTACTAAAATAAGAATTTTTTAATAATTATAAACTAAAAATTGGACAAAAAGTTAAAAGAGTCTACTAAAGTCCGATTCATATATATTAAAAAATCAGGTTTGAATGGTTTTCACAATAGTAGACATGTTTTCTCAAATCTTTCTACAAAGTGAATACATATGTTAACCATTGCATAAACATTTCCTAAATTCGGCAACAAAATGTATAATTTTAATATTTTTATAGGACAAAATACAACAAGTATAATTACGGATAGCAAACAAGCTATGAAGGCAATATCATCCAAAACAGTCAGATCTAGATCAGATGTATAAAGGGTTGATCCAAATGAAGACAAAACTAACCAAATCCTAATGCTAAACAAAAAACGGGAAACATCAGCCTTAAGGCACATCTGCAGAAGATTGGATGCGAGGGTAGCAGCAGCTGCAGAGCGTGTGGGGAAAACATTGAAATGCTGAACATTTCCTGTGCCAATGTCCAGCATTTACAGACCTTCGAAAACAATTCTTGGGATATGACACTATTCACAGACTAACTGTAGGGGTGTGAATGGAGAAGATCGAAGAAATTAAAAAAAAACACAAAATTCCTAGATTCATAGGGAGATTAAACCCAATATCCTTAAACTAACTTTCCTAATTCTAACTTTCATTTCATTTCTAGAGCGCACCACAGGCCTCACTGGCCTTAAAATACACAACTCCTTAAATTGCCGACGACTGGCACACTTACCCTATTCTATATAATAAATAAAAGTTAACTATGAACCTTTGTATATAAATTCTATATTTAAACCATTTTCCAAAAAAATCAATCTAACTTATTAGCATTTACAGACCTTCGAAAACAATTCTTGGGATATGACACTATTCACAGACTAACTGTAGGGGTGTGAATGGAGAAGACCAAAGAAATTCAAAAAAAAAAAAAAAAAAAAAAAAAACACAAAATTCCTAGATTCATAGGGAGATTAAACCCAATATCCTTAAACTAACTTTCCTAATTCTAACTTTCTTTTCATTTCTAGAGCGCACCACAGGCCTCACTGGCCTTAAAATACACAACTCCTTAAAGTGCCGACGACTGGCACACTTACCCTATTCTATATAATAAATAAAAGTTAAATATGAACCTTTGTATATTTATTTGACATTTAAACGTAGAAACAGTAAAAATAGATGGAGGAAGTTTAATCAAATTTCATTGTCTTTTCACAAAACATTTTAATTTATTTACGAGAATGGTAACCTAGGCAATAAGGCCAAAAAAAGGTCCCAGAAATATCTACAACTCCAAATGATGAAACATTTAATTTTGCTAAGACTTTTAGTGTTGGTATGTGGTTAAATACTTTCAAATGTTTATAAAATTGGTTTTAAATGTTTCCTTGACAAATATTTTTGTTGGCAAAAAGTGTGCCAGTCATTTATATAATAGTCCCACCACAGCACGAATATAAAAGAAGTTCATTCAAGAGTGCTTATTATACATACAACATTGCACATACATTGACAACCTATCTACATATGAGAATTATGACTTCAATGCAAATAAATTAATTAAGAAAAAACACTGCTTCCTTTTGTTGTAAATCATTTAATGATTTAAATATGACAAAATTTTTGACATTCACCTCCAAATTTGCACACGTTTTAATTGGGTTTTCCCATAATATCTAATAAACGATGACGTGAAAATTCAAGGACGTTTGTTGTTAGTTAACGCAATACACTCGAATATGTCGAACGACCTACCTTGTTTATTTCTTTGATTTATTTGGGTTGCAAAATAAATAAAAGTTGCAGAGATAGGTTTGATATGAACGTTCAATGTTTTCGTCGTTGTTTTGTTTTTTCTTCTTTTGTTTATAATCCTGGAGTTATGCAAACACTTTTATTTTGAATCGTGTATTTTCAAAATGCTAATTATTCCTTGTGTCACAATAGGGATACATTTGTTTGTACACTGTTATTATATATTAGTATTTTTTGTTTAACTACAAATATAATTAATTACAATTAGAATAAATTATATACAACGATGTTTTAACTGAAACGGAAAGTGATCGATTGGAAATGCTTCACCATCGAGTAATCAAACGCAAACCAAAAAAAAGAAAACACGCACGACCGACCAACAAGCATGCCTGACGATTTAAAACTTAAATTTGGTTTGCTCTTTATGTGAATGTTTTCTTCTGGCTCTGTCCTTTGCAGAGTCGTTTTGACAATTCTGTTCGTATAATAGCTTTTCATTTGTTGTTGTTGTTGTCCAACAAGAAGAAAAAATCAATAAGTCGTGTAAACAAAAAGGTTTGTTGGCACTCGAATCGATTTTTCACATTACTTGAACGAGAGCCACGAATGCGAGCGAGCGAGTCCCCAACGACGACGACGACGACAAAGAAATACAAACAGAGAGAACAATCACACAGAACACTTCTCTCTCATACATATGGACAAAGGACGACACACATATGTTGGCAGACCAGGTAAAATCCAAAATACAAATTTCAAATGACCTCTTCCAAAGAACCTCAATCTGATGGGGCACTACCTTTAAAGGAGTCTCAGAATATTCTCTGTTAAGGAGGCATACAAACCTGTTGGCCGACGAATCCTCACGCTCTGCATCAAGGGGCTGGTGTGCGGCTGCCGTTTGCTGGGGAACTGGACTGGGATTTATCTGCGGTATCTGTGGCTGTTTGTTGTTACACAATGTTGATGGCGACTTGTTGTCTCCCGGTGTCGTCGGTCCTTTGGTACCGCTTGCTCCTCCCGTCGAATGTTTACTGTCCAATTCAGTATTTATGTTATCGCTGTTTTTTAGAGTGCCATCACACACCTTGCGCATTGAACCACAGTTTAGACATTTTAGGGATTCCGTCGGATTGATAACATTGCAATTTGTGCATTGCCATTGAAGAACAGATGCTATTGTGCCCATCCTTGCTGGATCTGCTGTTCCCTTTTTTGTGTTTAAAGACTCTTGACGATTAAAATATCACAAAATTCCTTCTGTAGAAGTTTATCAATCCATCCACTAAACCAATTCATTCATTTCTTTATCTGGTCGACCACCCACAAATTTCCACCCCTTTTTCAAAGAGCGTCATTCAATTCTAAAAATCCATTTGATTCTTTATGTTTTGAGCCTGCAATTCACGTTCAGTACTATCCTTAGGATCCCATTTTAGTCAAAGTTTACTAAAAACAATGTTCAAAAGTTTATTTTAAACAAATATATACACTTTTTGCACGAAAAAAGAAATATTTGCGACCACCGACTAGAAAGCGAAGTCAAAGATAAATTGACGACAACGGCGACTATTAGCTGTCGATTTATTCTCGACCGTGACGCCGTTATTTGACATTCACTGGGCTCTTATGTACAATAGTCGCGTTTTAAAACAATGACGATTTAGTGCAAAAAAGCTTTTTTTCAGACAAAATAAGAGCATCCAGTAAGGAATGGTGATGACAAGGATTATTTAAAAGTGTTCTGTTCCAGTACTTTTTTCATGGTAAAACAAGTAAAAGGGAAAAATGTCAAAATTATTCTCCCAGTTCAAAAATGTAAAAACGCCAAAATTACATAGCAATATTTCAAAATCAACACAACAGACCATGGTATAATAATAAAAGGTAACAGCAAGTGTTGTTGTACAAAAAAATTACAACAACCACATGGAAATTTGTTGTTGTAAGTTCTACTAGTGTCAACTCATTTGACAGAAAAATGTAAACAAACAAACAAACAAATTATCATCAAATTATTTTTATTTTGAAAATGGAATATTTTCGAATCCTCAAAATAAAAATTGAAAAACATGAATGAAAATCTATCAAATTTATATTTCTATCGCTTCCACATTTATCCTTTAATTGAGCCATTGCCATATATATATGTGTAACACATATGACAATGCTGGGAATAGTAATTCCTTCATTGAATTTCCCACAGGCAGATTGCACACATTAAAAAAGAACAATTTCAAATTGTATGCGTTCCCAATTTTCCTGTTGGGTGATTTTTAAAAACATAATTTGTCAAATTCATATTGACACTAGTATTACGTTTAATCAAATCAGCTGGTATTTGCTGTTACCTTTCATAATTGTACCATGACAACAGACAATCAGAAGTAGGCATTCCTGTTACCATTTTTACTCGACCAAATTTCTCGAGTAAAAAGTTTACAAAGAGAACGCCATTTAGTTTTGTGTTCTCTTAAATTTGGTTAAACATTTTACTAGTTTTGTGGGTTCAGTTTTTCAGTAAAAAGTTAGAACGGAAAATATAGTAGAATCATAATAGGCTATTACAACATAAAAATACAATTTTTTGTTTAAAAGAAAGGCAACCCTACAAGTTCATGGAAAGATATTGACGTTAATTCGCCCATCTGGAGAATTTCCAGCCATTAATTATCCAGAAATATTACCCGCGGTAACTCTGGGGTTTAGAGGTTGTTACCCTCCGGACTTTACTGGCCTGGTGTATAAATTTTTACCAATTTGAATTTAAAATACCGGCTGATATCCTCCAATATTTGCTCACACAAAAGTCGGGGTCTATTTGACCCGCTAAGTATCGACCGATCTTTATGAAAACAGGCATGCTCATTCTTAGGCCCCACCCCCTTCGCCATGTAAAATTTCGTTATGTTCGGAGCATAATTGCGGCCTCTACACCTTTTTCAAATGTTATTACAAACATTTCAATTGCAATTCGAGAATTTCATTTGTAATTCGAAAATTCAATTTGCAATTCATAACATTTCACTTGTAATTCGAGTATTTAATCGGTAATTCACAACAATTCATTTGTAATTTTAAACTTTTCATATGTAATTCAAAAAATTCCATCTGAATTTTTAAGAATATCATTTGTAATTTGTATATTTTTATTTGAAATTCAATGAATTCAATTTGAAATTCATAAAATTTTACTTGTAAATCATAATATTTAAGTTGTAATTCGTAAAAATTCATTTCAAATTCTTAAAATTTTATTTCAAATTCGAATAAAATAAATAATTTGAACAATAAGTGGGGTAGAAGTTTTTTATGTAGTGAAAAATAGTATTAACAAACAAACTAATATATATATATATATATATATATATATGAATGAATAAAAATCTACATTAAGGTCTGTCAATAATCTATATAAATTAAATTTAAATACATACATTGAAGTTCATGATGCAAAAAAGTATAAAGTATATATAAAAGTAAAAAGTATAAAGTAAAGTATATAAAATTATAAAGTATATTACATTAATATGTACATATATTATTACCCACCTTAATGTGTTACACATATTTTGGGTGTTTCCCATAACATTTTTCCAATTTAAAATTAAATGTCATTAATTTCAAATTAAATTTTACGAATTTCAATTGAATTTATTTGAAAGTTGAATGGAATTTTATAAATTTCAAATGGAATTTTAGTAATTTCAAATGGAGTTTTATGAATATCCAATGGAATTTTACGAATTTTAAATGGAATTCTCGAATTGCAAATTGTATGTTATGAATAACAAATGGAATTCTCGAATTGCAAATTGTATGTTATGAATAACAAATGGAATTCTCGAATTACATTTGTTATGTTTTGAATAACATGTGAAAAAGGTGTAGAGCGACCTGAAAAACCGACAAAAATTAAGTATTTGGTCCATTTCATCCCCTAAATATTAAACGATCTTTTCCAAAAACAATAGGAGTCTTCAATGGCCAGAACACATCCTACATGCAAAATTTCACGAAGATTGGTCCATAACTGTGGCCTGTATCGTGTTTACAAATTATAATGGACAGACGGACGGACACACATGTCTAGATCGACTCAGCTAGTCGAGATATGACGATCGGTATACTTAAAGGTGGGTCTAGGACCAATATTTCTCGGCGTTACAAACTTCTGGGGCTGCACAAAGCTATAATACCCTGACAACATAGTTGTGTAGGGTATAATTAAATTAAAAATTTATTCAGTGTTACGTAAATTGTATTCCACCAGTATTTATCTACCTTTCCATGTTAGGACGAAAATTGCTTGTTCACTGATGATGCCACATGTGTTATATGCATTGGAAGTTATATCAGGAACTTCGGAATATAATTTTCATAAATTACAGCACATAATAAAAATGATTGCTAGATTTGTTTATAATGTAAGAGTTCGTGAGCATATATCAGAGTTTGTTGTCAACTTTTTAGGTACTTCGTTTCGTAAATTTGTCGATTTCCGTAATACTTCTTATTTCTATAGAATTATTAAAACTGGAATACCTAGATCGTTACGAGCGTTGTTTACTTTTTCACATTCTAGCAGAAACCCACAGATTAATATACCATTAATTCATTGCTCCTTATATGAAAAATCGTATGTGGTTCGTGTTGCGAGGTTTTAGAATTTGCGAATTTTTTCACATTCGAATAATGCGTTTCGTTTAAAACTTAAACTCTATTTAAATTTTTGGGAGAATTAGTTTATTTGTGTTTTATTATCTTCGCAATAATATTACAATTAAAATAAATTAGGCTGGGGAGCCAATGTTGTAAATAAAAAAATGTATTTTAGACTATCAGGTTTTTAATAATGCTTTAAATACAGTAAATAGGCCCAGGAGGCTTTTGTATTACGAATAAAATAAGACTACAGAAACCTAATGCACAAAAAAAAAAAAAACAAAAATATTTTTTGTTTATTTTTTTATTTGTATAACTTAGAGGAAAGCCTTATCGAATATTTGGAAGTGGAGTTTCCGACGACTCCGAGCCCGGAAAGGCTTACATGGCTGGACGCTCCCATAATGTTAATGCTATTGAAATTGGTAGATATTTTGCCAACTAGAACAACAAGATATGGAACATGTCAAGTTTAGGGGCTCCATTCGGATCATTTTGAAATGATTACCGTAAGTAGCCCGGGTATTTTTTAGAGAACTTAAGACTAAGACATTCACATATGGACAGGCTCACACATATCTACGCAATATATTCTTCATCTAGTTATATAACACAAACCATAACCTTTAAAATGATACGTCTAATTAAAAGAACATACTCTCCGAACTTTCAAGGCCCATATCTCGGGAAGTATGCATTTCTCCCCATATCACTTACTGTAAAAATGTCAAAGCGATCCAAGTGGAGCCCCAAAACTTGTCTTAAGCCCAATATATTTTGGATATTTTGATACGAGTGACCAACCCAAGTCTTCATTCCATAGTATATTCATCTGAATCTTCTGCCAGCCATTCATCTTCATTCATAAGAGAGTAAAAAAACTGTGTCCATTTTTAAATTTCTTATTTTTTTAAGCAAATGTGTGTGCGTCTGTGCGTGTGTCCCTTTTGTTGAAGCCTTCATATGCTTTATTTCGGACTGTATATCTCTGGCAATTAAATGTCAAATTCATAATTTACTACATTTACTATTTCGTGCTAGGCCAAATTGGTCTTGCAGAAAATAGTAGAAGAGAACGCCATTTTGGTTTTAACTCTCTTAAATTTCCTTCAATTTTTCCTACTTTTCGGCGTAAGGAAACGCTTTTCTAGCAACAATTGCAAAACTAGTACAATATAGTACTATATTGCAGGTTTGGGAACACAGCTATTATGTATTTTGTTGCTGCAACAACTAAATAAAATTAGCCAAAAATGTCTATTTGTAAACATCTTTTAATATTTGTATTAAATATATGTGTGCAGATGCATCTACCTCATATCAGAATTATATATATTTTTGATAGATTGATTAACTGTTACTCTTGAAAAATTCGTGTGTTATCTTGTCGTTATATTATCGTATCAAATTTTATTCTCAAACATAGTTGGGCAGCCTAGCACACCAGCGTTGATGCGTTCTCTTAGAATTTTGTGATGTTAAGACTAAAATAAACATTATTGAAAAATTTCCGCAATTTTTTAA